GTGAAACACTCGCACTTATATCTCAATACTTTTCTCTCTACTAACAAGAGCCGAAAAGCCTTGTGACCTCTTTGCACTCGTTTATATACTTTCTGTCTTCGACTGTTCTCGAGCTTTCTCGAATATTCTAGTTTCCGGAGCCGCAGATGCGATTTGCGCATCTTTGGAAATGTCGATTAGTGCCCCCAATGATATATATGAGGACTAATCGATTCGATATCGTTTACCAACATCGGTGTTATCATAAGAGATTTTTACAACATATATAGATTAAAAAATTATTAATGTAGAATATAAACTATAGTTTCAAATTACTTTATATTACTTTATTATTATTACCTGACAGTCCATCGCCTCATCAACTTGGATTCCTTGAAGCCCTTCGTTTTATACAATATTTCATTCAAGCACTCTACAATTAATGCCCTATCTAGATCGGAGGATGATTTTACTTGTGGCTCATTTTTTTATCAATTAAAAAAAATTATTTGAGTCAAACTATCCACTCCACAAGTAGGATCATTCACCGGTCTAAATTAGGCATAACTGAATGAAATTGTAGGTTATGCATCTCTCCCATAGCAGACGACTTTATAAGTTCTTTTAGTGATGTCTTACAAAAGATCCGTCAGACGTCTGTACATCGTCTTTAGGTAATGTCTCAAAGACGTAATGAAAAAGACAAATACAGAACGTCGTTAAGACATGCGTGTTGTGTGGGATAGCTCGTTCTAGCTACAGTATCAAAACTCATTTATTCAATGCAATTATTATTATTTGGCAATAAGATCTAAATTTTCTAGCAGATATTGCTAGAATGTTGCTGTTATAAATTTTAGATGTGACAAACAATATTTTAGCAGATACAAAAAATAGCGATACATTTTTGTTGTGACATCTAGAAATCTACCTACATCAGCAAAATATTTTTTTCAGTGAACTAAATGAAAAAAAGGTCGCAACGAACAGAAACATTCATCTACTGTTCGTCGATCTTACAAAAGCGTAAAATAAATTAATTAAATAAATTTTATTTATTTTTTAATTATACAGAGTGTCTAGCACAAGGTGAATCACTTCTCGGGTGCAGGTAGAGCGAGTTAAACCGAGTAGAAAAGTCCTCTACCGTTTTGCGATTTTTGCAATAATTAATGAGAAATTAATTAAAGAAGATCGACCAATTTGCACAAGTCTAAGCGCTGTTACGTGCCGCAACTTATAGTTTCTTATATTACTCTTTTTATTCGAACCTTTGAACCTTTTTTATCTTTACTCCTTCTTGATCCTAAACACATGACCCTTTGATGACTGCAATAAACATAAACGCTGTCCCTATGCCTAACGCATATTTTTCTTTTGACAAAACCGCTTCCTTCCAATAAACATTCCGCCGCTACGATTTTCCTACAGCACCTTAAACGAAGATCATTCTCGCCAGTTCAGTTCTCGATCAAAGCTCAAACCAGCAACACCGAATCAAGACTTTTTCCACAAACGTGTCCCGACTTATTCTAAATAATCTATTACGTAGCTATACGCTCGTAACAGCGCGCGGCAAGAAAATACAGCCCACTGTTACGTGGTCGCTAGGACGCAAGGATCTAGCATTACGCACCGCTCGTATGTTGCCGTTGTCATTTGTACACTGGAAAAAAAGTTTTGTTGTATTATAAGAAATTCTGGTTGATTCTAAATTCTAGTACGTTTGTTCAAAAATGAACGAAACAAATTTGTTGTTGGAATTACCAGAAGATTCTGTTAAATTTTATCCTGTTTAAATCTATCAGAATTTCTTGTAAACCTTACTACATCGTGTTGTTAGATTTACAAAACTCTACCAGAATTTCTTGTAAACTTACCACATTGTGTTGTTAGATTTACAAAACTCTACCAGAATTTCTTGTTAACTTTACTATATCGTTTTGTTAGGTTAACACAACTTTGTAGTTAAAAAACAAGTTCGGATAGGTGGTTTTTGTAAAATACTAACAATATATTTTGGTTTAAAGTATACTCAGTGATGTGATGTTTCCTACCGGGCTCCCGGCTCCCGAGCCCGGTAGGAAACATTACATCAC